ATAAATGAGCGCACATTAAGTTAAATGATTGCGAATATTAGAAAATATTGGCATGCCAAATGCTGGGCAGGCTTAGGCCGAGCGAGGCGCAGCTGTTGCTATTTGCTAAAAATAATAAATGGATCCTTGGCCTTGGCGACGGCCACGTCGTTATGTCTCATTAGCACTTGCCGGGCATTTACTTAGGTGCGCAAATTAAAATAAAGAGCAACGCAGCAGTTGATGGAAAGCTTTAGATTCAGAGCCGGGCCAGAGCCAGCTCAGCTCAGCCCAGCGTCAGGCTCAAAGAGGTTTTTGAGTCAGGCCAAAACCCGTTTCGAGTCGTTCGCCGGCAAACACAACAACGCAACAAAAAATGAGCCACTCAGCGGCCACAGCTGCCTCGCTCAATTGAGTGGTTTGTCTTTGCGCCCTGACTTTGCTTTACAGCCAGGAAGTTGATGCATGACCAAAAAAGCAAAATTATCTTTGAGCAATTCTGGCTGCAATTTAATGATTTCGAATTGGCCAAAACTTTTAATGAAAGTGCCTGCTCCGTTAGCGGGCAACGAAAGATGCTCTCGGAGACGCCTTCACTTTTTGTTTCCCTGCAAAAATTACATAGGCAGCTGTTACGGCTGGCAATCAGCATAAGATTTCAGCGTTTCACTTGTTGTTGCTGTTGGTCGTTGTCGTTGCTATTGCTCGAACTGTTATTTTTCTTTTTTATTTTTTCAGAATTCCCTGTTTCGGTTGTTCGCTGCGCTTTCGTGTCAACACATTTTATATGCCAGCGAAACCGGCCTGCAGCTGGAGCTGGAGCTGGAGCTGAAGCACCCGGCCAGATAATCAAAAGTCCAACTGGCAATTCGGCAAGTGGCTCTGGCAGGCTATCATTCATTCATTCGCTCACTCACTCACTCACTCACTCAGTGAGACATTCCCGTGAATTCCAAAAGCTGTGCTAAGCGTGGGCTCAATGAGGTCAGTTCGAAACTCTTTTTGGCCAATATGCTTTAGCAGTGTCTCTCTTCTATTTGGCCAGGCCATTGACTAGCGGCCAGAAATTTCACTTTTCATATGCCATACGCCATACGCCATAGGCCATATGCCATTTGTTACCATATGCCCAATGGCACATGCTAATGCCTAATGCCTGCCCACGACCCGGTGAACTTTTGGCTTGCCAATGACTGATATGGGTCACGGCACAGGTAGTACATAGCACGCCGTTCCCATATTTGATTGTCAAACATGGGTTACCGTTTGGCCAAATTCGCTGTAGCTGCTCCCGCTCTCCGCTACTCCCTGCTGCTGCTGCTGTCTCTGCTTGCGGCTGCTGCTGTTGTTTCTCGCTGTTGTCGTTGCGGCCGCTTCCATGCTTCCATTGTCCATGTCGCCGTTGTCAGTGTTGGCTGTCAATTTTGTCAGGTTGGCTGACAGGCCAACAAGCGCAGCAACTTGGCTAACTGGCAAATGCTTTTGTGCAAAATCAATGCCGCGACTGCATGCACCGCATACAAGATCAGATCTGGGCAGGAGCAGCCGCAAGGCTTTGCCCACATTGCTGTTTGCTCCACAAGCAGTGCCAAATTTATGTTCCACACGCCATTAATCACGGCCCAGCGAGTGTTGGCGTTGGCATGTGCCCCACTGCGGTCGGCTCAGCCAACCGAAGAATTTCACAAATCATAACCGCAAACAAATTTGTTTTGTTTGATAATTTTTGGCCAATGCCGCTGACACATATAGCCAGCTGGCCGACAGCTTCAATGATCCAATAGCCGGACTACGGCTGTGGCTTCGAGACCCATTTGTGCTAGTAATTTGGGAAGTGGCTGCAAATTAACCTTAATTGATTGCATTTGACAGCAGCAGCAGAGGCAGCAGCGTTGGCAGAGGCAGCATCAGCTACACGCCAGCTATTGTGGGAGCTGGTCTTTAAACGAGACTAGACTCGTTTTTGGAAACTCACACAGAGAAGCGCTCGATTCGTAATAGCGTTCATTATGTCTACAGCTGATCTGCCGTTCGACTGCACGGGAATAATTCAAACATTATCATTAGCCCGTTTCTATTCTTCAGTCTGAAAAGTGAATCCGTGTGGCTTCGTTGTATTTGTCTCTGTGTATGTGTGGGTCTGGCTGGGTCTATCGATTGACCTGCTGAAAATCTCGGGGCACACAACTTCACTTTCTATTTATTTACTTAATGCCGGCTGAAGCGGCGGCCTCTTTTGTGCCAAAGTGCACAAATCACTTCGATTTAATAACTATAATCGTTTGAGGGGGCCCAGCTCCACAAGGTGTTTATGGCGAATCGTGACAAAATGCTTTGACTCACTGACAAATTGGTGCAATGAGCCTGTCGGCGAAACAGCAAACGTTCCCTGATTGAGCATCCCGGGCCTTTTGACATTTTGCCAAGTGGATTTCGCTAAGCAGATTCAAATGGGTTGGGCGAAGAAAGCTGCGGCTGGGCCGCACATTAGTCAAAGGGAAATTTTATCAAGTGAGAATAGCTCAGTTGGAATCATTGCCAAAGTGTTGGCATAATGTGTGTTCCCCTGCTTCCTCTCAAGCTGCTGCAACTGGGATTGACTACTGCCAGCTGAGCATAACTCATAACAAAATATGGGTTTGTGGAACAAAGTCAATTGGTATGCGAGATTGGAGCATCAGCAATGTAATACAATTTAGCCATTATTGGCATACAGGATGTGCAGAGAAAAAAGTCCCACATATAAAGTATGAAATGCTGAATATCTTGGCAATGGCTTCTAGTTGCATATCTCCTCTTGATATGCAAATAAACGTAGAAAGTAAACGTAGCAATGCATGATGCATATTTAATTTGCGTAGCTACTAGCTAGGCTAGGCGCCCACCTCGCAGCACCCGCTAAGGCGGCATCAGTCGCTGCACTCCAGTCAAGCTCTACCCAAGATGGCATAAATTTCGAACTGAACAAGTGAAATTGACCAAATTTGGCAACTGTAACTGCATAAACTGCAAGTCAAATGGGACTCAAGTCACTTTGATGTGTCCAACAAAGGCCAAAACCTCAAAGGAGATGAAGACGACGACGACGGCGACGGCGACGGCGGCAACGGCGACAGAGATAAAGCACGCAAATGTGTTGAAGTTGGCCAACATTTTGGCCAATTGCCCATATAAATGCTACAACAGCGAGTTTTCAGCATAAATTTGTAAATCTTTCTGGATTTTTTTTTTCTATCTGTTTTACTTTCGGCGTTTTCTTTATATTTCGTTTTTCGTTTTTTTTGTTAGTAAGCCAGCGAGTTGACGCATTTACGGCAACTTGTCGCAACCAAAATACAATTTTAAGCAAATTAGTTACATATGTAAATACATCAAGAAACGCATGTACGCCTTTCACAAACCGCTTTGGCTATTGCGAGTGGCCCGCTGGGATAAGACTGACGCTGGACTTGCGGTGAAAACATTTGAAGCTCTGCTGTAAGCATGCACTTCCTATCTCTACTCCATCTAGTTGCCTGACTATCTCTGATAGACAACAAGCATATTCAGATGCCTTATCTTAAGTCAGCTTTTTTCTTTAGATAACATTTCAACTAGGAACATGCATAGTTGCAATACTGATTCCCACTTGTACATTCATTGCATATCACACTTTACATTCACACCACTAAAACCACCAAAAGACTCTGTTGCATATGGATACATCAGCGTTCAATACAAACGAGTTGGAGCTGCATTCCAATGAGCACTATTTGAGTATCTGGTGTAAATAGCAACACTTCCACCTGCACGCTTTCAGATTCATCAAGTAATTCACACTCTTAAGATTGACTTTCCATAGATCTAGTTTCTACGTATTTCTGCGACTATTTAATATTAAATGTAAACTAAACTAGTTTCTAACTTTTCATTACTGAAGACTGTAAGGCACATTGTCCTAGAACTTGACATTTGCTCTTAGCTGCATGACATGGAAATTCTCATATCCTGGCTAATAGTCTAACTGTACTTATAGCTTCATGTCTCTGGCTGCTTACCGACCACTTAGCGTGGCCCAGAGCCGTAACTCTAACTTAATTATAATACTCGAGCGCACTCGTATACAAACATTCACACACCCAAAGAACGCCCCGAATGCCATGGGGCAGCCGCACGATTGAAGCGAGCCCCTTCTGAATGCTGTAAATAACTAATATGCTAATTAGACGTTGCTCCTAAGTAGTGCTCGCTGTACGCTGCACAGATACAGATCTCGCTGTCCTCCCTCTCTCTCTCTCTCTCTCTCTTTCTCTCTTTCTCTCCTATCTTAGCGGTCCACTAATTGTTGGTCAATGGTCGACGGCCGCGTGCATTTTACTGGGTTAACAGGTGACTCGGAAAGAGTTCATTTCTAGGGAAAGAGCGAGACAGCGACAATTCCCTATGACCGCTAGACTCAAATGCAGCCACGCCCACTAGCAGGCGGTGCCAAAGAACCGAAATGTTTGAGGTGCATAATTAGCATAAGATTATTGAACTAATTGCTGCATATGAATTGCTTAACTACTAAATTACTACAGAGCTTTGGCTGCCTGCCCAGTGTGGGAAATGCAAATGATCCTCATCTAGACTAATATTTCATTAGTTGTAGCGGCTGCTGCTGCTGCTGTTGTTCTTCTTCTAGTTGCTTCTGCTGCTGCTGCTGTTATCTCATTACATAGACAAAGCGACCCTCGGGGCAAAATTTGGCTAATTTGGGCAAGAGGCAGCAACATCTCCATAAATTATGCAACTCCTGCCACAGCCGAGGCAACGGCTCTTTGAAGCGCCGCTCGAGATTCTCACATTTGTCAACACTCTCCGGCCACGTTCTGGCGGCAAATGTGCTGGCATGCAACATGGCCAGCTAAAGGGTATTGCAGGTACTGTTATAGGGCGGACCGGAGACTTGGCAGTCATAACGTAACTTGATCATATTACATAAAATTAATTAAAATTTTTGAACATGATTTCTCATTGCAGTCTTCAACTCCATATAATTATGTTAAATCTATAAGTATTCATAAATTGAATGAAGCGTATAAATACCTCGGTGAGCTTGGCTTGAAATTTGTCTACAGTTCGCTCTAGCTCAGTTCCAGTTGCAGTTGCAGTTGCAGTTGATGTTGCCACTTGCCACTTGCCGGCCAGCAGACACATAAATCCCAGGCCGTCGAGTTGCGATGAGCTGCAGAGCTGAGGCTTGCCTGATCGCCTGTTCATTTGCACACGGTTTGGCAATTTCACAGATTTATCATTTTTATCGTTTTGCTCAGCCAAAATTTATTAATATGCCACGCTTGCGAACCGGTCTGCCGCACCTCGGCCCGGAAATTTATGGCCGCTGGCTGCGTCAGCGATTGGCAACAGGCTGCAGCCTGCAGTCAGCTGGCTAGCAGCTGGAGCTGGAGCTGGAGCTGGCAAACTTTTACGCATGTTACCGTTGCACTGTCGCTTGGCGTTCTTGCAGCTGCTCACACGTCGCGCCGCTGGCTGAGCTGCAGCTTAATATTTTGTGGGGATTAGATAAGCGAGCTGGTGCATAATTGGCCAGATCTTTGGGCATGCTGTTTGCATATCGCGTGCCATCAGGCCGTAGCCATCAGTTTCACTTGCGATCCCATCGAGCTGGCACTCAGCTGGCAGGGCTTAGGCAAATAAATTGCCAAGCAGCAGCCGGAGGGGGCTAGCCAAGTATCCAGCTAGCCAGCTATCTGGCTGCCTGGCATGCAGATGAGATTGTGATCTTGGCCTGTTATGAGTCAATCAGACGCCTGCTACATTGTCACCATCACCTAGCGGTTGCCGCAGGCGCGTAGGCAAGCAACATGCGGAGATTGTTGCGATTGCATCATGAAATTTAACTGCCGTGGAACAGTCGTACAAGGGGCGCTCGAAAGTCTTCGCATAAATTGGCAGCAAGGAGGCTTGGCGTCAATGCAGGCTACTGCTGCTGCTACTGCTGTTGCTGCTGTTGGCTGGCTGGCTGGCTTATAAGGCGCCGCTGAGGTAACGCTCCATTCAGCTGTCCGCTGGGCAAAATGTTTATGAGATGACGATGCTGGCCGGAGGACAGGCAGGCCCTATCTCTGCTCAATTCTTTCATAATTTCTATGAGCTACACAAAAATACTACCTTAATGGTAAATGAATAGACATCAAAGCCGCCGCCTGCAAATATCATTTCTTGTCCTTGGCACTCGCTGTGGGTAGCCCAAGCTTCAAGTCGGCTGCCACTCTCTTCACGAGCGAAGCTATCTCCTTGAAGGACTTGTGGTTCTTATCGGACAGCAGATTGAATATCACGCTCTCTGTGCTGGATATTATGCAACCAATTTGACGTAGTCGTTCTAGTGCCAAGTCGCGATCCTGATTGAGACGCGATGCACAGCAGTCAGCGACCAGCCACACATCTATTCCATTATTGATGAGGTCAAAGGCCGTTTGCTCTACGCACACATGCGTCTGTCGGGGCATTCAAAATGTTAAACGGAAGTACATTATATTCGAATATGAGAACCTTGCCTCAATGCCAAACAGCACCGCGGTCTTGGGCTTATCGCTAAAAAGATTCTTCATCATATTTTCAACTTCCGGCACAATCATGCTGAATTTTGTCTTTGGCACAACCGCACAGGCATGCTTCACATCCAGTTCGCTAACTGTGCTGCCTAGTCTCTCGGGATATTGCTCTGTAACCACTAATGGAACATTCAACACCTTACCAGCTTCTATCTAAAATTTAAGCTATTTTCTGTTGACGATAAATAACTTCAACTTACCAATTTCTTTGAATTTTCTATTACCGCCTCGATCAAGGGAATAGCGGGTTTGAATTTTTCCTGTATGTCGCACATCATGAACAACGTCTTGTTTGATTTCAGGCGGTAAAGTGATTGCCTCATGCGGTTGACCATATTTCTTCAAAAATTGATTAATAAAATTTTGAATTTATGATGGAGTTATTGAATTTGAAAATTGCCGCAAAGCTGTCGCCCTCTGTTGGCAGTCGTAGGAACTTCGTATCACAGTATAAATGCAGTTCAAATTATCGATACCGATGCCACTGTTAATATTATTGTGGAAAAAACGCGCTCTGTTAACCTAATGTTACGTGTTAAAATACAATTTCTACAAGCGTTGTCAGATTTTCGCAGCAACAAGTGTCGTGCATCTAACATTTAATTAAACGGTTGTTAAAGTGATGCACATAACTTAATTTAATAATTATAATTCACGGTTAGGATCAAAGCCGACTGGAATGCTGTCAAAATAATTATTAATACGAATTTATAAATATTATTCTAAAAGTTCCTGATAGTCATTGATGAATTTTATATGACTATTTCCAAGATTTGGAAACGTAAACAAAACAGTAAGTAAAAGAAAAGCCGGCTGTTTCATAACATTTCGTACAATTTGTAATATTGGCTTGGAAAAATAGGCACTTATCGAGCTGCCGTCCATCAGATGTTTGCTATCGAAAACTTAACATTCTTGGGCAGCAGGCCACACTATTTTCTCTTAAACTGGTCATACAGTCTGCTACCTCGCCTATGCTTTGTTTACCTTTTTCTGTTTACATATTTTAATTTCTTTTATTTTTATTACAACTAAAGTGTTAGATTTTCCATTCAAAATTCTTTTCAATAGGCAAGTGTAAAATAGAGTGTCAATGTATTTATTGCCGTGTCAAGTAATGCTTTGAGAAAGGTCGTATGGTTGTGCATTGACTTTGCCGCAACCACCAGTTGCATGCCGCTAATTTGCATGCAATTGTGGTCAGATGCATGTGTGTGTTTTTGCGTGTATTTATTTGTGTATGCATCATTTTTGTCGAAACACCAATTTGGCATCGAACCAGCGCCAAGTTCTTGGTTGACAGTTACAGCGCGCACAACTAATTGCAGGCTAATAAATTACGCTTCTCTGAGAATTATCAAGGCGTTCAAATTACAAACAGATACACATACATAAAAATTTATGTGTGTACATGCGTTTGGCAGGGTTATTTCACTTTCGAGATAAGCGTCGCTGTACGATTTGCTGTCCGCTGTCATATAAAAGCAAAAATATCAAATGCTCGACAACGTGCTGACGGCTAAAGCTACGCCGGCGTCAACAGCAACGCCAGCGTCGGTGTCAACGTCGGCGTCGGCATCGACATCAGCTTTGCCGTCAACGCTGCCAACGCCTTTATCAATTTGCAACGGATACGCAAGCTCTGACAAGTTGAATTAATCGTTTAGCCATCGCGGCGCGCTTTAGAGGCTAGACCCTAGTCTCGAGACTCATACAATCCCAGCACTCTCACAGTTGGCCTCTCTCAGTTGTTCTCCCACTCACTCTTACTCTCCCATCTCCCCTCAGCCAGCTGATTGCGCCGCCCTCTCTCTATCTTTGCCAAACTGTTTTCGAATTGGTCTCGGTCCATTCGCATCGCAATCGTTCAGTAGCTAAGGGAAGCATTCGCCTGTCAGACGTTGTCTGAATCTGCCCCAGCAATTTTCGACTGTCCTAGAATTGGCGTTGGCGTTTCATTTGATTAATATTGATCAATTGATAAATAGAAACACACACAGACGTTCAGTTGCGCCCTGGTCATAAATTCTGGCATAAATGCTGTTGCTCTGACGCCGCTGAATAGGAATTGAAGCAGCCGCCACTTTCCGCTGAATTGGTCTGTTTGCGTTGGCCTTTATGCCATTAAAGCTTGCTAATATTTTGCTTTCTAATTTCTCTTGCAGTTAGTCGTATAGTACAAATTGTATAGGATGAGCCTCCAATCCATCAAATATCAGCGCGGGAGCCTGGAGATACTCGATCAGCTGCTTCTGCCCGTCGTCTCCAAGTATCTGCCGGTGCGTGGCGTCGAGGATGGCTGGAAGGTGATCAACAAGATGCAGGTGAGCACCAATAATCATGTAGTCGATCCGCACCCAACCGAATGGAATTGCAGTCTACGTACTCAACTCTCGAATTATGTTCAAATTGTCATTCGTCCGCTCTATAAATACCGCAATTAAAGATTTCGTTCAGATCATTTAAATAATTCTTGCAGATTGGTGCCAAGCATCAAAACGCTTGCACACATCATCATCAAAATTAATTGCATCTTGCCCAACAGCAATTTGTTTGCGGATTTCTCATTTAAATGAGGTTCCCTCTACTCTACCAAGACGCCATATGTAGAACGCTGGGCCGCATTTTTATTTATTATAATTTTTGTAAAGCAAATAAAATCGGCGAGAGGGAGAGATTATTTTGCAGTTGTTTACTGCTGCCTTTGTAAAAAGAGCGCGTATGCGGCTCATCACGTGGACTGCGAGTCGTATTATATAATGTGGACTATAAAGAGTTTATGGCCAGATAAGAGCGTTGACACAGCAGCAACAGCAGCAGATGATACCCAATATAAAGCCCGCACTCAAACCCTCTCAGTAATTGTTTGTCTTATTTTTGTTTACGCTCTTTATAGGTGCGGGGCGCTCCGGCTATAGCCATTGTGGGCTGCCTCTCGCTGGCTGTTGAAATCTATCCAGAGGAGTTTAGTAGCAAAAAATCGCTGCGTCAGGAAATCGAGGGCAAGCTAAACTATTTGGTTTCCGCACGGCCCACGGCTGTTAACATGAAAATTTCCGCTGACGAGCTAATCACGCTAGCCAACGAGCTCACCAAGGATGATGCCATAACGGTGGGCGAGATGAAGCAAAGGTAAATTGGAAGAGTCAAGACTCAAGAGCATACAACTTACACAAATGATATTCCAGATTCCTGAAGGCCACCGAGGCCATGCTGGAAAAAGACATTGCCGACAACCGTGCGATTGGCGCTAATGGTGCTAAGGCCATATTGGAGCATGTGGCTGAGGCGACGGGTGTGGCTACAGCTGGTCCCGTGCGTGTGTTGACGCACTGCAACACGGGGTCTCTGGCCACAGCAGGTTATGGCACAGCGCTGGGCGTCGTGCGGAACCTAAGCGAGCTAGGCAAGCTAGGTAAGAGACAGCTTCACTCCAAGCAAGACAGCCATCAATTAACGAACAACTAATACTCTACAGAGCACGTTTACTGCACGGAGACGCGACCGTATAACCAGGGCGCACGCTTGACCGCATATGAGCTGGTGCACGAGAAGCTACCCGCCACTCTGGTGCTTGACAGCATGGTTGCGGCGCTGCTGCGCGTGAAGAATATTGCAGCAGTAGTCGTGGGCGCGGATCGGGTGAGCTACTCATTGTGTCGCGTCTGCTTGGCTGGCTAATCAGTGTCCTTTATCCCATCCAGGTGGCTGCCAATGGAGATACGGCTAATAAAATTGGCACCTATCAAATAGCAGTGGTGGCCAAGCACCATGGCGTACCGTTCTATGTGGCTGCACCGCTGACCTCCATCGATCTGCAGATACCCAGCGGTGATCACATCATAATCGAGGTGCGACCCGACCGCGAAATGACGCACGTGGGCGAGCATCGGATTGCGGCGCCGGGCATTAATTGCTGGAACCCCGCCTTTGATGTGACTCCCGCTTCTCTCATCACTGGCATCATCACGGAGCATGGCGTCTTCAAGCCGGAGGCGCTCAAAGCGGAGATCACCAAGCTGCTTGGGTTATAACAGCTGCACAAACTGTTGTTTCTGTTGTTAATATTTGCGTTAAATGAATGCACTCCAGTTGCAAAAAGCACCGCACAGACAGTCAGAGCCACACGGAACCACATGCAAATGGGGAGGCAGCCAGCTGGCTTTTGTATATGTAAATCGGCGCTAAACGAAAATATACAATGCACATTATATTTACACAACTAGGCTGAAGAATTAAGGCAGATGTTTTACTTGTTATGTTTTGATTCTTAAATAGCGTAGTCTTTGTTTGGCAAGGCTTAAAACCTTTGCGCTGATTGAGAATGCCACACTAGGTGGTAGACGACGGAGAATGGAGTCACACATAGCATCGCTTCTGTTGTTGCTGCTCGGCTTTGGTTTGTGCACCTGCCAGCTGAATATCTACAACAATTTTCGCAATATGCAAGTGCGCCTGGCTAGTTCGACTGCTCCAGCTCCGAATGCCAACCAGCCATTGCGTGAGGGCCGCGTGGAGATCAGTTTCGACAATGGCGTCAGTTGGGGCACCATTTGCAGCACGCACTGGACACTGCGCGAGGGCAATGTCGTGTGCCGTCAGCTAGGCTTGGGCTATGCTTCCATGGCGACTTCAAGTACGAAGCATGGCAATAGTAATACGAATCCTTGGGGCCTGGTGGGTACGCGATGTCGCGGCACTGAGCGAAAGTTGTTAGAGTGTTCCCGAGAGCCAACATACCCGGCTGTATGCGATGCCCACAATCGTAATGTCAGCACAGTGGCCTGTGTGAGCAAATCGGCAGATCTGGAGCTTGGTGTTTCGGACATCGAGATAAGTGCGTACCTGGCATTGGTACCCATGACTCAGTTGACCTGTGCCATGGAAGAGAACTGTGTGTCGAAGGATGCGTATGTGATACGCAGAACAAACCCGAGCGCCATCCGCAAGCTGCTGCGCTTCTCTGTCAAGGCTTCCAATGTGGGCAATGCCGACGTTAGTCCCTATGCCAACTACAAGGACTGGGAGTGGCATCAGTGCCACATGCACTACCACAGCATGAATGTCTTTGCCACATTCGACGTGTACAATAAACGGTACAAAAAGGTGGCCCAGGGCCACAAGGCCTCCTTCTGCCTAATGGACTCTGAATGCAATTTAGGCGTGGCCCCTAAATACACGTGCGGCAATACCACGCAAGGTAAGTTTTCAACTGCTCCCTATTCACCTGAGCTATGCTTACGCTAAAACATTGATAGGTATTACCGCTGGCTGCGCGGACGTGTACAGCCATGTGTTAGATTGCCAGTGGGTGGATGTAACCACGGTGCCCGTCAACAACAAATATATTTTGCGCGTCGAGCTTAATCCCGAGTACGTTCTGGGCGAGAAGTCCTTCGAGAATAATGGCGCCGAGTGTGAGCTGGATTATACGGGTGAAGTCCTAACCACAAGGGTCACTAGATGCAAACGAAAGCCGTTGCTTGTATGAAACAACAGTTAATGCATGAAAACGAATACCTACAAACTGCAATTATTATAATTGAAATAAATAAATTAAAAATAATAAATCAACTCACTCTGTCAATCTGCTTGCGCTTTATGGAATTTCATAAATTGATTGATGCAGGCAAATTAAATAATTCGTCCCTTTTGTTACTCAATTCTTTAGTCAGATAATAATTATGACTAAACGTTAAGAAATCCAGCTTTGAGTAAGTGCGATATTTCATTAAATTGACAGCTCATCCATATAATCGCAATGCCAATATAATCAATAATGTCGAGCTTACAAATGAAATGACAATTGGGTATTGTTGTAGTTAAATACGTTTATTGTTTTTATTTTTTTCTCTTTTGTTTGTTGAATGTTGGTTTTGTTTTTGTTTCGCATTTAATTGCTCTTACACAGTAGACTATGTTTGTATATCTGGTATTTATTATTATGATCTATAAATATGCCTTTAATTACTATAGATAAATATTTCGGCGCTTGCTTTGATTCCTTTGTGCTAAAATTCAATTATGCTTTTTTCGAGCTTGTGGCGTTTTTTTTTTTTTTTTTTTTTTTTTTTTCGTTTTTTTTTTTTTTTTTTTTTGTTTGACATTTTTTTGTTTGTTTTGTTTTGGGTTGTGCTTCATTCATTGTAATATTTATGTAAATTGTTGATTCTTGTTCTTTCTTTTTTTTCTCCCATTTATAAATCTTTTTTGTTGCCATTGTATACCCTAATTTTAGCTAATTGTGCCAAAAATGAATTGAATTGCAACTAAATGTGTTTGTCTCGCATTCGCACTGACCCGCGAATGGGAAGCTGAAATCGTACCCGATTTGCATTCAATGAGTAACATAATAAATTCTCCTTTATTTTTAATTGTTTGTTGCTAATTACAAAAATGCCTACACTACACATTTATACACAGAACTCTTAAACACTAGCCGACGTCTCAATTAGCAATTAGCTGGCATCGTTTGCAGCATGCAAAATTGTATTATGTATACATACACACACACAGGCACACGCACACAAACGGCCTCCTGCTCGAGCGTAGGCTGTGGCATGTATGCAACAGTATTGCATGACAAAACAACAAATATCAATAATCACGTTCGCAAAATCCTAATGAACAAATTGCAGTCAACTTAAACTTAGGCAACAGAATTGTTTGAAGAGCATTGAAAAGCGTAGGAAAAGTGTGCGGCAATTATAAAAATGGTATATGTATATGTATGTGAATAAATGTACATTCATTTATGTAAGCATTTACATGAATATATATATATATATGTATGCATGTATATATATATAAATATATGTTACATATATGTAGAGTTGTATGTACTTATTTATGTTAAGTATTTCAATAAAAATGCATTAAAGTTGTTCGAGTATTTATGTCATTTGCTTAACACGCTAACTAAAACACCTGACGCATTAGCTCCCCCCTGACCGCCCGCCTCTGCTCCCCCACACGTTGCAATAACACGTTGAGCACAAAAACTACTTTACAAATATTACACTCGTTACTCCGGCATTGCCTCTAGACTGCCCTCTACAGAGAAATGTGTGCGTGTCTGTATAAATTTATATTAAATTATGTAGTTTCTGTATACATATTTAAACAGCATACATATGCTTGTGTGTGCGTGTCTGTGTGTGTCTTAAGTAACATTACTTTATGTGCTATGACAAACTGACGGCCAATTTGGCTTGCGCTTTTCATTATGTATTTATTTTTGTTTTTATTTTGTATAGTTTAGTTTAGTTTTTAGTTTTCGCTTTGTAGCCTTTAAGTTACCATGAAAACGTACTTGTTTAATAAGTAGCTATGGTATAGTATGCTATGGTATGTGTTCTACTACCATCCATTGATTAAGTAACCACCTAACGTGCCTTTCTCTCAGTGTACTCCCAAAGTTGTGTGAGTCTGTATCGCTTGTGAAAACATTTATAAATTAATTTTTGCATGTTGTTCGGATCCCTTCCATCCTTGTTTGCTTCCATAGTTAATCATCACACACACTTATATATATATATACATATATATGTATATATAATTTTAATAATGTCCGTCCTTGTGATACTTATTGTTATGGTAGCTGTTGTTCGTGTTTTGCAATGAGTTTCAGTTGTGCTGCGCTCTGTGCGCTTCGCTCCTAATGGGGGCTTTGATTGGTTTTGGGGTTGGATGTTAATTGTGCGCGTGTGGGTCACAATTCGTTCTATGTGTGTACGTTAGGCGTTTGGGCTTTAACTAATCTATGCTATCAGCTCTCGACCGTCGTGGATGACACGCTGTGACTAGTGGTTAGCAGGTGCTCAGGAATGGGTATGGGTTGAGTGCGAGCCGGCTGCTTCTTCTGCAAATAAAAGAAGAAACAAAACGTCAGTCATTATAAAAGAATTAACGGAGTGTGCTTAATCATTACCTTGCGCCTGAATGGAAAGCAGCCTGCCTTGTCCGGTTCCGGTACGGCGTTGATCAACAAGTCGGGCGTGGGACTCTCGTCGGGACCGAAGACGTTCAGCTCGCGAAAGCATTCGGTCTCCATCATTTCATTTTGCCATGAAATGGATACAGAGCCCGTATTGAATTTCGTATAAAAATTCGTATCGGACTCATCGATATTGACGCCCTTCACAGTCGAGAACTGTTCAATATCGAGCACATCTTTGGCGTAAACGGCGTGCGGCTGTTGGCGGCATGAAATAATGTTTAGGTGGCGCGTTATTGATTTGGCTCGGCGTATTACTTACGTCTGGCACGAAGGGCGGCTCCAGCATGCCCGCCTCCAAGCGTCGCCAATTCAGCTGTGTCGAGTGGAAAAACGGATGCGCCATCACATCCTGGGCGCCCATTCGCCCATTGCGGCAGCCCAAGCGTTGCTTTATCGATTTAGCTAACAGCTGTTGGCACATTGATTTGGCTTCATCATTAAACTTGCTCGAATACTTTTCGGCATCCTCCTGCAAATGAAATTGATTTAATATGATTCTCATTATTATTATTGGCTCTTGTTTAGGCTAGAGACTTTTAACGAACCTTAACACGTCTATCCACCTCCTCGCGCTTCACTTTCTCCTTGCGCATGCGAAACGGCGCCTGACCCTCGATCATTTCATACAGCAGGCATCCAAAACTGAACCAATCCGGCGAGAAGGCGTACTTCTCATTGTCTATAACTTCCGGCGCCATGTAGCCTGTTTGATTTAAGTATCTATCAATTAAATAATTCTTTTTAATTGGAGCACTGTCTCTTACCCACTGTGCCGACTCGTCCGCGCACCATCTCCCCCTCGGGAATCTCCACAGCCAGGCCCAGATCAGAGATGCGCACATGCCCGTGATCATCCAGCAGTATGTTCTCCGGCTTGCAATCCCTGTAAACGATGCCCTGCTTGTGCAGATGCTGCAGTCCACAAGCCACCTCCGCTGCATAGAACCGGGCACGCTCTAGCTCGAATCCGGGCTCCCCGCCCATGTTGTAAATATGAAACTTTAAATCACCGCCTGCAAAGAAAATTTGAGAATTTTAAATTGTTTTGTGTTGAGCTGATAATGAGAAGTAAATAACGGTTCTTTACTTTAATCGTAAAAGAAGTCAACAGCTCAGAGAAGTTCGTGCCGACTTTCTCAATCATGTTCAATTAAGCAGTGAATTTTGAAGTGGAATTTCGTTAACCTTCTTCACGCATCGATTTTTGTTTAA